CACAGTTGTTGGCTATGTTTGAGACCATTGTTGCAGCCATTGTGTTAGCCCATCTCATAGAGGGTCTTCCTCTTTTTCGATGACCCTCTGCTTTACCAAGTATGATGTCCTTCTCCAGGGACTGGTCCCTCCTGATAACATGTCCAAATTACATGAAAAAAAGTCTTGTCATCCTTGCTTCTAAGGAACATCCTGGCTGTACTTCTTCTAAGACGGGTTATTCATTCTTCTGGCAGTCCATGTTGTTGTTGTTGTTGTTGTTGCTGTTTGCCATCGAGTCGGACCTGACTCATAGTGACTCCTCCTTGGGTTTCCGAGGCAGTATCACTGCAGAAGTAGATTGCCCAACCTTGCTTCTGAGGAGTGGCTGGTGGGTTTGAACTGCGAGCCTTCTGGTTAGCAATCATGTAGTCCATAGTATATTCAACAAACATCAATTCTTCTTCAGTGTTCCTTATTCATTGTCCAGCTTTCACTTGCATATGAGGCAATTGAAAATGCCATGCCTTGGATTAGGTGCACATCAGTCCTCAAAGTGACATCTTGGCTTTTTAATACTTTAAAGAGGTTTTTTCAGCAGATTTTCCCAGTGCAGTGTGTCATTTGATTTCTTGACTGTTGCTTCCATGGACATTGATTGTGGGTCCAAGTAAAATGGAATTCTTGACAATTTTGATATTTTCTCAATTTACTGTGATGTTACTTATTGGTCCAGTTGTGAGAATTTTTGTTTTCCTTATGTTGAAGTGTAATCCATACTGAAGGCTACAATCTTTGATCTTCGAAAGTAAATGTTTCGATTCTCTTCACTTAGAGCAATTAAGACTGTGTCATCTGCATATTGTGAGTTGTTAGTGAGTCTTCCTCCAATCCTGATGCCACATTCTTCTTCATATAGTCCAGCTTCTTGGGTTATTTGCCCAGCATCCAGATTGAGTAAGTATGGTGAAAGAATAAAAGCCTGACACACACCTTTCTATTTTAAACCACACAATATCCCCCTTGTTTTGTTCAAATGACTGCCTCTTGGTCTACATTCTACAGGTACACAATTAAGTGTTCTGGAATTCCCATTTTTCTAATGTTATCCATAATTTGTCATGATCCACACAGTCAAATGCCTTTGCATAGTCAATCAAACATGGGTAAACATCTTTCTAGTATTCTCTGCTTTTAGCCAAGATTCACATCAGCAATGATATCCCCTGTTCAATGTCCTCTTCTGAATCCAGCTTGAATTTCTGGCAGTTCCCTGTTGATGTAATGCTACAACTCTTTTTGAATTATCTTCAGCAAAATTTCACTCGCATGTGATATAATGCTATTGTGTGATAATTTCCACATCCTTTTGGATCATTTTTCTTTGGAATGGGCACAAATATGGATCTCTTCCAGTCAGTTGGCCAGGTAGCTGTCTTCCAAATTTCTTGCCATAGACTAATGAGTGCTCCCAGTATGTCATGTGTTTGTGGAAACCAGGGTTTCAAACTGGTTCTTCCCAGTTCAGTCACAGCCAAGGAAGTAAAACCAGAATAGACCCAGATTATTTTAGTTTTTAAAAATGTAAAAAGTTTGGGTGAACTGAAACAATAACCGGAATGGGAAAAAATTATGAGTTGAAGCCCTGACGTAAACTTAATCTCCCTCTTAGAGAACAAGGGCAGCATATATGTTGCATAGCGTCCAAATCTCTTGCCCATGGGATTTTGAGCAGGGCTGGAAACTGTGGTGCTCTGCTCAAAATGATGGCTGACCACACTGCTTTGAACATGAATCCTGCCGATCTCACACATCCGGCTCCTGAGGAGGAGTCTCCCATCCAGGCCTTTACCCATATTTTTGCCCCTTCCAGGTATTGTTCTGGATCACCCAAATTTTAAAAATTCAAGTCTGTTCCAGTTTTGCTTCATTGTCATGACTGAACCAGTTTGAATTGGTTGGCAGCCCTGGTTGATACATCTCAATTGCTGTTCTGTCAATTCCTGGGGGCTTTTTTTTTTTAAAAACCAATGCCTTGAATGTAGCTTGAATTTCTTCCTTCAGCATTATCAGTTTTTTATCATATACTACCTCCTAAAATGGTTGACTATCCACCAATTCTTTTTGGTACAGTGACTCAGTGTATTCCTTCCATCTTTTTTTGATCCTTCTTGTATCATTTACATTTTTTTGCCTATAGAATCCTTCAGTATTGCAACTCAGGGCTTGAATTTTTTCTTTAGTCTTTTCAGCTTGAGGAAGCTGAGCGTGTTCTTCTCTTTTGGTTTTTTAACTCCAGATCTTTGCATATTTCATTATAATATTTCACTTTGTTTTCTTGTTCTTCCCTTTCAAATCTTCTTTTCAGTTCTTTATCATTTATTCCCTTTGCTTTAGCTACTCTACATTCAAGAGCAAGTCTTCTCTGACATCCATTTTTGTCTTTTCTTTCTTTCCTGTCTTTTTTTGTTTGTTTGTTTGTTTGTTTGTTTGTTAACTTTTATTGTGATTTGGGTACAAGTTTGCAGAGCAAATTCATTTTCCATACAGAAGTTTATAGACATTTTGTTTCATGACATTGACTGCAGTTCCCCGGAGTGTAATAGCTTTCTTCCCATTTTCTCCCTGTAGTTACCTCTTCCCTGTGCATTCCTGCCTCCCAAGCTATCTCCTGTACAAACACTGCCGGTCTGTTCTCCCACAATTGATCACTCTAAGGAGTGTATCTCCCTGATGTAAACATTCACCCTATATGCTTGTCTAGTGTTTGCCTGAAAGCCACAGGAGTGAGTTCAGTTCCAGACCTGAAGGATAACTAGCTTTCTTGTCTTTTTAATCACCTTTTGCTTTCTTCATCTGTGATGTCCTTGATGTCATCCAACAACTAGTCTTGTATTCAGTCATCAATGTCTCCGTTGCATCAAATCTGTTCTTGAAATGGTGTTTAAATTCAGGTGTAATATACTGTAGATTGTACTTTGGATCTTGTGGACTTGTTTTCATTTTCTTCACTGTCAACTTGAAGTTGCATATGAGCAATTGATGGTCTGTCTCTTCCTTAGTCAGCCCCAACTTTGTTCTGACTGATGATATTGAACTTCTCCATTGTCTCTTTCCACAGAGGTAGTCGATTTGATTCTTATGTATTCCATCTGGAGAGGTCCATGTGTATAGTTACTGTTCATTGTTGTTGAAAAAAGGTGTTTCCAATGAATAGGTCAGTGGTCTTGTAAAATTCTGTCATGTGATCTCTGGCATCGTTTCTATCACCGAGGCTGTATTTTCCATCTTCTGTTTCCAGCTTTCACATTCTAATCACCAGTAATTATCAATGAATCTAGATTGTATATTTGATCAATTTTGGACTATAGACGTTAGTAACAGTCTTCAGTTTCTTCCTTTATAATATACATGTATCATAAAATGGGATCATATTGTTTTATAATTTGCTTTTTTCACCGTGTCTTACAAGTATCTTTCCATGTCAATAAATTATACTTTGATCATATGACCTGTATCTGAGAAATATAGCGTCCAGTTACCAAGGCAAAATGCCACTTTGATTCTCTGGGCTCCTGTATAGGCAAGGCAGGCCAGGGCAGGTAAAGTTGGAGACCGAGATGACTCACGTATTGTGTGACATGAGGTAGTACAGAGCCAAGCATGCCACTGGTGGTTAAGGTAGCACCAGCTTCCAGCACTGCTTTTCATTTTTCTCTTTTCCAGGAAGGAAGCTTTTTATGCTCCTTATACCTGTGATCTCTGCACGCCTCCCTCAATGAATCATCTCAACAACTAAGATTTAAACAAAAGAATCAAGCATTTGTTCCTTTGTACTTCCTTTCTTCCCCAAACCTTGGTGCTTCTTGATGAAGTGACTCTCAGAGTATATTCAGAAGAGTAATAGGGTGAGAGACTTAATTCCCAATATAGCTGCTAATCCTGTTTAATTCCCTGAAGTCTTTCAGTCCTACATCGTTAGTCCTTGCTTTCTTAGTTGACAGACTGGTAAATCACAGACTACAGGAATGGAGAAGGTATTGGAATTTGTGGTTTGTTGGGGAGGTGGTTCTGTTCAAGTTATTTAGAAGGAATATTTTCAAAGCACAGGACGTTTAATTTTACTTCAGGCAGGTTTCCTCTGTTTTTGTGAAACAGTGACAATTTTCACATTGCTTTCAACATGTTACATGTTATCCATTTTGACCCAGGTGAAAGTGAAATTTCTTCATTGTGTTTGAAGATGTATGTCCTTCAATCAACCAAATGGTTTTTAGTTTTGTTTTTTCGTATGAAACCTGGGTATATAAGTTCAATCAGAGGATCTGTAAAATAGTGAATTTTCTGTTAACTGAGAGCTGGCAAATGGACAATATGTAGAGAAGAGCCCAGAAAAAGGAGGATTAGATTCTTATGTGAAAAATAGAATTTGACTGTTTTTATGCATGTAGATTATACCAAATATGACTAAATATTATGTTTGCAAATACATATACAAGTCTGGTGACTTCCTTAGGTTTCTACAATAACAGTTATTGATACTGCATAGTTTCAGCTATACTGCATCTTTGCCTTATTTAAAAGAAAAACCCCACCAGGATTCACCACATAATTTTCTGACATGCAGTATGAACTTTCATAATCCATATCTACAGTGTGTAAAGTTTCTGGCATTTTGTTTTTTGTGTCTTGTTTTTCCCCATTTGTCTTTGGATAAATTTCTCTTGTCTCCAATGTAACTATCATTAGATCTGGACTCTCCTTTCTTCTCATTTTGTCCTTATAAGGCTATCCTGTTTTATCACTTCCTGCTTCAGCTCCTTACTTTTTCTCTCTTCCCCTCTCCCTCTCCTGGGGTGGATGCTTTCTGCATGTGGCAGAGCTGTAACTGTTCACAGCTGTCTGAAAACGGCAGTGAACCAGGAGCAGCTCAGAGTTTTAACTTTCATTTTACAAAGAACAACATGTTTGAATGTTTCAACAAGCAAGTTATAACTAGCACTTACTTCTTGTTCTTTTAGAACACTGAAAATTTCCCCCAACACTTCAGAAGGGGGACCCTGACTGTGCTGAAGAAGAAGTGGGAGAACCCAGGGCTGGGAGCTGAGTCACACACGGACTCTCTACGAAACAGCAGCACTGAGATTAGGCACGGCGTCGACCACCCTCCCGCCGAAGAGGCAAGCAACTCTGCCACAGAAGCTGAAGCTCACCAAGAGGAACGAAGCCACACCAGATCAAGATTTGGCTCACCTCCTGAAGCCCTCACTCGGTGCCGGTATCCCTCCATCAAGGACAGTGAGGATCTTCAAGACCCCTCTACAGAGAGTGAAAAAATGGAAAATTGTCTAGGAGAATCCAGGCACGAAGTAGGAAAACCTGAAATCAGTGAAAACACAGATGCTACAAGCAAAATAGAGAAATATAATGTTCCACTGAACAGGCTTAAGATGATGTTTGAGAAAGGTGAATCAACGCAAACCAAGGTAAGAATTTGGCAGGTTTAAACCTTGATTCCTCAAGTAACTATAAGTAAGCAGAGAGGTTTTTTCCAATCCAGTCTGAGTACAGATGCGTATGTGGTCAGACTGTCTTCTGATTCAAGTTAGATGAGTTAACGAAAAGTCTCACGTGAATTATTTACATAAAGGTTGACATTTATGAGCCCCCAGCTCAGTTTCATGTTAAACTCACACTGGGACTCAGGTTGATACCAAGAAATGTAATAGAATTTGATACCGATTGGATTTTGTGTTTTTGTGTGCTTGCCCTTTTAATTTGTCTTCCTGTGCCTTTTGTCATGTGTAACTTTATGGGATGAATCTCTCTCCGTTTGGACACAGCTGCAGACGGAATGTTAAGGCCAGAGTTCACCATTAAGACTGAGGCTGAGTTGTTTCTTTGCTAGCTGGATCCCTTCTCTTCTCAACTTCCTCATGTATGCCTTCCAGCAAATGTTTTCTATCAGCTATAATCCTCTCCCAGGAAAAATCAATGAAGATAGCCAGACTAGCTGTAGCCTTCAGGAGCTTTGACTTGCAAATGCACAGGGTTGCATTTTCCTGCAACTGCTAATGAAATTTGATCCTTCTTGTGGATTGCAGACTGGGTCCCCAGAGGGAATTACTTAACTAGAAAATGAGTTACATATGCTGGTGACTTATAACACAATCCAGAGGCCGCAGAGCTGGTAAATTTTTCCAGTTTTCTCATACTTTCCTACATATCTGGCTTTGTACATGGGGATGGTTTGTTACACAGTCATTATAATGAAATAAACAGATCTGACGAGGGCAAAGCCATCATTTACTCTAGATGCCATCTATGTGGGAAAGCAGATTTTTTTGGAAGCTAAGTATTTGGCCCAAATCCCTACATTTGTGATGTTAAAGCATTCTTTCTGAGATAAAAATTAGATGGTTCATCCTCCAGGCTTCAGTCATGTCAGGTGTGACTGAGTCAAACCCCTTCCTGTAACTTGCAGTGCTTTCCTGCCTAGAAAAAAGTTCTTTTAGTGTTTGGGGATCATCTGTTTGAGGAAGCAGGAGGAATTTTTTCAAGGTTTGCAAAGCTAGGACCCTTTCCTGTGCATGCATTTTAGCTATATGCTTTAACGCGGAAACCAGTTGGCAAGCTTTATGAGTTAAACTGACATATTTCAGTCTTCTAGGCCGGCCAGTTCTCTTTCTCCTTTATGGTCTTTATCTTTTTTTTTTTTTCTTTTAAATGTGAAGAAGAATTTTAAATGGAAGGAAAAAATGTCAGAAATCCTAAATAGAGAGGAAGGGGCTTTGTTGTGACTCAAAGCACCATTGTAAGTTTCCTTCTCAAAGACCCTGTTAGGGGCAGGACAGCTGATGTCATGCCAGCACACACAATGTGGATTCAGTGCCCAAGGCCAGTGCGTGTTGAAACTGGCCTAAGGTAGGAAATGACTGGGACTGCAGCAAACAAAAATGCTGATTATGTGTAAGGATCTGCTGAGAGAGAGACTCCTTTCTCATAAATGTCTCACAAGAGATGGGCCAGAACAAGCCTATGTCTTTATGCCTTGTCAGAGTGGAGAAAAACTCTTGGTCTGAAAAAAGACCTGAATAGATTTCTGATGTCACTGGGAGCCTGATTGTGAGGGGTATAGGAAGATAGCAGGATTGTCCAGTTTTTTGGTGCCTTTTTTACTTGCTGATTTAATATTCATTTGTCACTTAATGGACTGCTTAGGTGTGTAAAGCATAGCTACCCTTAGTTTTATAACTGTTTCTAAATAAGCATCATTATTCATGTTGGAAATAAGTCATGTCTAACATCTCAGTAAACTGTCTTTCAAACGTTCCTTTAGGTTAAAGAATAACCTGCGTGAAACTGTTGTTGTTGTTGTGTGCCGTCGAGTTGTCCCTGACTCATAGACACCCCTCCTTGGGTTTTCGAGGCAGTATCACTATGGAAGTAGATTGCCCAACCTTCCTTCCGAGGAGTGACTGGTGGGTTTGAACCGCCAGCCTTCTGGTTAGCAGTCAAGTGCCTTAGGCACTATGCTGCCAGAGCTCCATTAGGTTATGGTTATTGTTAACATAATTTCAGTTTTAAAATGGACAAAGCTTTAGTCAGGAAGTTATGTATTTGAATCTTTGGAAGGAAGCGCTGAGAAATATGGTAAGAACCCTAGAAATTCTATTAGGAGCAAGAGGGTATAAGTAAAAATGTTTACATCAGAGCTAGGAAATTAATACTTAAGTGGAAGAAATAAATATAACGCCCCCCCCCCCACTGCCAGTGAATTGATTCAGAAATGAATATGTTGGGCAAAATTGTGTGAATCTTTGGTTCTATTCTGGAATTGATAGAGCTAGAGTGAATCTCAACTAACTAGCTGAAAGGAGTCAGGGACCACATAGAGCTAGAGTGAATCTCAACTAACTAGCTGAAAGGAGTCAGGGACCACATAGATAATGGAAAATTTATAATTTAATATCTGTCCCTCCTAAATCTTTTTATCAACATTATTCATAAGAGCCAAAATTAACTGGCTTGAATTCTATCTGCTTTTCTTAGTCTCACTTGCTCCCTTTTGTCTGAAATAGCTTCTATTCTTGTCCCCTTTTCTTCCTGATGATCTCTTCTCTGCCCTTCTAACTTTTTTTCTCTGTATGTGGTCTCATCTGTTTCCATGATTCCAAGAGATGAATCTCAAAGATACATTCTAATCCCAAATTCTTACCCAAGGTTCAGTCCCATATTTCTGATTCAGTATTCCACCTCTCAAACCAAAACCAAAACCAACCCCGTGCTATTGAGTAGATTCCGACTCATAGTGATCCTAAAAGACAGAATAGAACTGCCCCAATAGGGTTTCCAAGTCTGTAAATCTTTACAGAAGCACATTACCTCATCTTTTTCCTACAGAGTGGCTGGTGGATTCGAACTGCCAACCTTTTGGTTAGCAGCTGAGTGTTGTAACCACTGTGCAACCAGACCTCCTCATCGCACCTCTCAGGCACTCAAATTCAAAGTGACTAAGAAAGAACTCTTTATCTTTCCACTCGAAACTGCTCTACTGCTGACATCCCTTTAATGCATCACTACATTCACCCAGTTTCCTGGTCTACAAATCTTAGAATCAGTTCTTCCCTCTATCTGTCTCCTCCCCCTAGTCAATCACTTACTAACCAAGCCCTCCAACAAGTCTGCCCTTCTAAACATTACTCAGGTATGGACCATTCTTTCCAGTCCCACATCTAATTCCAGGGTTTATTTAGTCTTAACCCATCTTGCCTATAGCATTGCTGCAGTCTCCTCCCTTGCTTCTCAATTCTTTCTTTTCATCTGTCTTTCACACTTTGCTATTTACTTTTCTAATCTTACTTGTAGTTTATGTTACTCCATTAGAAGCTGATAAAAAAAAAAATTTCAGCCTCAAAATTGATCCATATTTATTATTCAGGTCTTACACAGTCTGTGTTCAACCTACCTTTCTGATCTCTGAGCCTGTCTTAAACTCTGAATTACTCTTCATTTTCTAAATCTCATGCTATTTCATGCTGTTCTTCAATTGCTGCCTTATGAAATCTTACCCTTTCCTTATAGTCTATCAGGGAGCTCTGGTGGTGTCCTGTCTAAGACATTTGACTGCTAACCAGAAGGCTGGTGGTTCAAACCCACCAGCTACTCCTTGGAAGGAAGATTGGGCAATCTGCTTCCGTAGAAATACGACCTTGAAAACCCAAGGAAGGGTCACTATGAGTTGAATCGACTCTATGGCAGTGAGTTTGATAGTCTATCAAGACTGTGAGGCCTTATTTTCGTTTCTCCCATATGAAATTAACTGTACCCTTCTTGTGCTCCTATAGAACATTATAGTTACTTCTCTTTAAAACCAAACTCACTACCGTCAAGTCGGATCCGACTCATAATGACCCCTCTTTGGGCTTCTGAGGCAGTATCACTATAGAAATAAGTTGCCCAATTTTCCTTCCAAAGAGTGGCTGGTGGGTTTGAACTGCCAGCTTCCTGGTTAGCAGTCAAATACCTTAGGCACTACGCCACCAGAGCTCCTTACTTGTCTTTGGGCACTTGTATTATGTTTCCTTAATAGTTGTGTGTGAATTTGTACATGCTCCAGCCTATAATTTCTTGCAAAGTAAATACGTTTTTATTCTCCAATGGTCAGCACAGTGACTTGCCTCTTAGTGCTTATTTAATTAAAAGGAAGAAAGAAGCTTAAAACTTAATTAATTTATAAATAATGAGAATTGATTAAAGGCTGTTTCTCACTTAATCTCTACCTTTGGTGAATGTATAGTTTATTTAGGCCAGATGGTTTAATTGAACATGATGGTTCTAATTCCTGTGAGCAAATGAGTAGTAGATGGAGTAATATAACCTGTAATCATTCCTAGGAGAAAAAAAACACCCTAGTGACATATACTGCATGTGGTTTTACAGCCTTAACTTCACGTATATGTTAACTTGGGTTTCAGTAGCAGAGGATAACGATTCTGGGCATCGTTTTATGAAATAAAATAGCTGATCAGCTACTTATAAACAGTGTTCAATTATTGTCCTCTTGACATTTGAATCCATAATCTTTAGGAGCCAGGATAAGTTTGTTCAAAAAGTATCTCTTCCATCCCCAGAAATGACCAAACAATGGAGGAGGGATGTGACAGACTCCTTAAGTCTCAGTTATTTGTTTGTTTCCTAACATTTGGCTCACAGAAATCCTAGATAGGAAGATAAAGACCAAAAATCTGAGTGGTACAGCTCTGCCTTCATAGCCAATTTAAATTATGTCCTTTCCTTGGGTCAAGATTGGACCAGTAGATGGAATGCCAGGAAGTAAGACTGGATCTCTGGACACCCCTTGATTCTTTAACACAGATGCTGACTACTGCTTCTTCAACGCAGTGCTTCCATCTTCCAGGAGAGTAGTTAGATAAAGAAAGGAAGGAAGGAGAGAAAAGGAAAGAGAGAAGAGAGAATGCCTCCT